CTATGCATTTCCAATAAAGTTTCAGTAGAAAGGCTATAAAGTGGGTTACGTGTTAAATTATTGAAAGAGAATTAACAGGGGTATAAAGACACAAGAACTTAAAATCACAAGTTATTATTCATACCGATTAATCCACATCGATGGAAGTGGATTGTTTATTGAGGAGATGTTGTTCCACATCGATTAATCACATGAGATATTTCCACTTCATGTGGTTCTTACTGCTAATTATCCTTGCTATAAATCACAGGTTGCTGGAAGTAGGGCAAGATTTCAGGATCCTCGTTCTATCAATCCTGGATTTATTGATGATATTCGGGGGACTTCGGATTATACGAATGCTGGGCACAATGTTTTTCCTGGGTCTTCAGGGAATTTGAATGCAGGCCGCCCTACTTTTCAAGGATACGAGTCTCCTGCTGGACAGAGCAGCAATATTCAGCAAGGCGCTTACCACCAGAGTTATCCTGCTCAACAAAGTGCCTATCAAAGTTCTACAGCTAAAAGTGGCTACCCTAGTGGTAGTCCTTCCCAATTGCCTTACCAAAACTATAATCCTCATCAAGCTCCATATCAGAGCATGAACTCACAGCAGCAGCAGCAGCAGTATCAGCAGCCGCCGTCATACCAGAACATGACTGCACAAGGTTCCTACCATTATTGATGCTAGATACTAAGTTCCGCAAAATACTTATGGCAGGTTTTAGTCACTCTTGTACCCTAATTTAATCTCATGTTGTGCTATACTTGTTTCTGAAAGTGTTACTAAAAGTAATTTAACTGCTTGCATTCTATGGAACTTTACCCCACCCCCTAGTGCATTGGTTGAGTAGCGTATTATGGTTGGAGAGGTTAAGTAGTTAAATGTTAGGCAAATTTTCAGAGATCTCGCGTCAGTTTTCCTCTGTAACATTTAACTTGTGGCTTACGTTAATACACTTAACTCCCTTATTCAGATTTCTTTTTAATGAGATTGTTACTCTTTAGAATTTGTTTATTCTACATATATAAATCGATTGATTTGCCTTGCTGTTTAAAATATATTGATTCTACATAGACATACAAGCACATTCAAGTTGTTCTCCTTTGAGTAGGAGTACAAGCTATTCTGAACATTTCTTTATCTTACCTCATTACCAGGCCTGATTGAACTATGACAGTTTTTTTATTAGTCAATATCTGGTATTCTCATTCTCATTCACCTTGTGTACAGACAGTTTCCTACATGGTCAATGAATGAAACATGCATCCCTGTCGTTGGTTCACATATTAGGTACGTGTAATGGTAATGTAGGATTGATTGTGTGGTGATTAATAATGATGGAATCTTTACGAGACGATTAATAATAAAGAGTTTATCATACAAGAATTTCTTAATTTTAGAGACTATCCTTAAATAGTTCAATTTTTATTTTGCTCTTACACGTATTGTTATTTCATATTCTACTACATACTAATACATAGATTACTAAAGTAACTTGATGCGAGTATTATTTAATATTGTCAATCAAACATTGAGGCTTGTGATTATTTTTTCTTATGCAGCCAATCAGACACAACATTAGTCATGTGACAATTATTTTCTTTTAACGCGGGGTTTTATACTAGGGTTGATAAAGCCAAAATAATCAAACAAACAATCGAAAGGCTAATGCCTAATATGCTCCATCTAAAAATTTTGATATCACCTCTCTTCTTGTAAAACTAGTTTTAGTGTTATGAAAGTGTTGGGACGGGATTCGGAGGTCAATCTTTCTCTATTGAGGGTATAACTATTTCATCAATAACTGGTTCGTCAAAACTGAATACTCTTAAGATTGGTCTCTTCCACGCATCCTTCATCTAAAACAAGAAAAGAATAAAGACAATTTGTTTCAAACATTAGCGATTAGCAGCAATAAACAACTATAGCTATGTGGTCTCTGTCAACCAACCACGTAGGGTCTGTATTTAATTCTAGCTAGACCAGTGTATGCATGGGAGCCCAAGAAGGAGCAACGGTCAATTTCTTCTTTTAACGATTGTGTTTAAGTCAATTTGTGCACATTTACTCGACTATTCTATTAATATTTGTTATTTCTACTCGCACGAGCTAGTAACTGTCTAGGAAGGTTTAAATTGATGGCAAAAAATATGACCTAAGGTTCTTAATTTCTGCTGAAATTAGGATGGCAATGCGTCGGGCGGGCTACTTAGCTTAAATTATCATATCCATTTTTTGGCCCACCAGGAGCGGCTTAAGGGGAGGCTAGTAAAAGATAAAACTTACTTGCACCTGGTATTTATACCAAACCAATGAATTATGTTTTGCGTATACCCTTTTAAGTGCACGACCATAGTTAAGTGAAATGTATTTTTACTTCAATTTGTTAATTCTTAAGGTTATTTAATTAGTTTGGTGTAAACATCCAGTGTTGGTAAGTATTTACTCTATTAAAGCCTTTGTTTTAGGCCCCTAAAACTTTAATTAAAAAAACGATGTCGGAACTTCTGGAAATTTCCTTATTAATTGTGTAAACCTCTGAAACTATTAAAATACGATGTCGGAAGTGTCACGATTAAAATTCGATTATCTAGATCAATATAATGTGCAGCTTTTTTTTTCTTCTTTGCAACCTACCTTACATTTTCGAGCAGTAGATGAAAGGAACATACTTTCATTAATTTATGATCGTACAGACCTAAATTAATCTAATTTTTAATCCAGAAATCATATTGATCGAACTTACTAACTCAAGAAAGAAGAAATACTTAATCGGTGGATTTGTTTAGAGAAATATCACTTTTTTTTTATAGAGGATGTGCAGCTTCAGCCAGAACTTTAAGATATGCTCTAACAGTTTCATCTTTCTTCTTCTTTTTCTTCTTATTTTTATGCTATAAATAGTAGTGATACTTCAACGCAAGACCTTTGCCTGATACCATACTGAAGTATGTGATCAGCTTATCTCAAAGTTTGAGTGATTAGAGAAAAACTAAATTAATTTAGGTCTGTATGAGCATAATTATTTTATTGATGTGTGAGCTATAGGTCATGAGTTCGACCCGTGGAATCAGCCACTGATGCATCAGGGTAGGCGGCCTACATCACACCCCTTAAGATGTGGCCCTTACTCGAATTCTAAGATTAGAGCCGTCAATATGTGCTTGGCCCGTTGGGCTAGCCCAGCCCAGTCCAGCCCGTGATTTAGCAGGGCCGTGCTAGAATTTTTGGAGTCCATTTAGAAACGAGGTTTTTAATCCCAGCCCGAGTAAGCCCGTGGCCCGTAAGACTTGATTGAGGCTGGGCTGGGCCGACCCGTGGGCCTCATAAAAATATGCATTTAAAATATATAAAATATAAAATTATACACATAAAAAATATCAATAAGAGTATCTAAGCTTAAAGTTTATTAAGCTCATCATATTAAGAGATCAAAGTCTTAAAACGTTAATTAATTTTAAAAATTTAATTATTCTTAATATTTGACTAATTAATATTGCATAGGAATTGTAGATGTAGATGAAAGTGAAGATATTTAGAAGGTGTTTGGCTAAGCTTATAAGCTGGTCAAATTGGCCTATAAACACCTTTTGGCTTATTTACGCGTTTGGTAAACATCCAAAGTGCTTATAAGCTAAAATCAGCCATAAGTTATAAGTTGGTCACCCCCAACTTACGGCTTTTCAGCTTATAATCACTTTTAGTTTGACCAACACTTTTACTAATTTATTCTTAACAATATTTTCTAATTAACAAAATACTTTTCCCAAAATAAATTTCTTGACTTTATCTTCATTCCATATTTGTTGTTAATTAATTTTTTGCGAAGAAATTTTTTAATTTATAATCTTTTGAAAAAAAAAATTCAAGGGTATTTTATTCATTTTAACAAAAGAATAGCTTATCAGCACTTTTTTATCAAACACATCAACTGCTTATTATCAGTTTCAACATTTTTATCCAAACACGTAAATGCTTATTTTAAAAATAAGTTTCAACACTTAAAAAAACTTTTCAGCACTTGAAGCTTATCAGCTATTTACAATCAGCTAATCCAAACGGGCTCTAAGGCAACCTTCTCACAAGCGAATTCAAATGTGTTTGATGAAGATGATGTGTTGGATATCCCGTAAGCATCATGGACATTCTCTTGAATAGTTTATTTTGAGTTTTCACTTTTAGTGAATGAAGTATTAGTCTTATCTTTTACTTTTTTAGTGTTTATCATATATTGGAACAAATTAAGTTTTGTGAAATTTTTCCAATAAGATTTTTTTAACTTTTAAATATTTATCTTTTTTCGGTTAGAACTTAAAGAAAAAAATATAAAATTATATTTTAAAAAATGATGGACAGGCCTGTGGGGGGCCTGCAGCCCACATAGGCCTGGGATGTGCTGACCATTATAAGGCTCATCAAAATGGTGGGCTAGTCCAATCCATCCCGTCAATTGCTAAAGCCTATGTAGGCTAGGCTGGGCTAGCCTGGCCCCGCCCATATTAACAGCTCTACACAAGATGCTTCGTACATTAGGCCGCGCTTTCTTCAGATACATTTGGCATGATGCTAGAACCTTTTTCGTAGAAGGTTATTATGCTATTTACCCCAATTTGTATGCTCAGACGAATTTTGAGCATTCCAAAATGATTTTGCTGGTCAGTATATAAAAGTTAAACTTTGATATACGTAATCACTTCCAATATGCTACCAAGCAATAATAGCTAGTCATATTAATTAGTTTGTTGGCCCCCTTCTATGCCAATTTCGACTTAAAACAAGTCACTTTAATTTTATATTAGTTTTATGGAATTTCACATTTTAGGATGGTGTATTTCTCGTGCCCTTTAAGTACAAACTTAATCATTTTCCTGTTTCCTTGGACAGGAAAAATATGATGAGAAGAGATTTTGCAGTAAATAAAAACAAGCTTAAAGCAGTTCCAGACTTCCAATCAAACAAACAAACTAATGGATCAAATCAACTTGTATATCATGTTCTCTATGCTGCAACAAACACCTTGACAACCAGAATTACGTTTATATTTTAGTTTTCACCGACTATGTTCACAAAAAAGTCAATATCAGGCAATTATATGCCTTTGGATTGACACAAATGAATCTAGTTTTCTCATAATGTGCAAAGAGAAGGACGAGAGACTGCATATATCGAGTAATATAATGCAGAACTTGTTCATTGCGCGCCTTAGGGAAGAACATAGAGAGTTGAGGCATAATATGTTAGACAGCAAAGAATAAGAGGCCGGTCAATTACCAACAAGCTTTGCCTGAAGAAGAAAGACACAACAGAATAGTATTGGTACCAACTGTTGTTCAACACAACAACAAAAACAACAACAACAACAACAACAACAACAACAACAACAACAAAAACAAAACCAGTGTAATCTCACAAGTGGGGTCTGGGGAGGATAGTGTGTACGCAGCCTTACCCCTGCCTTGAGAAGGTAGAGAGACTATTTCCGATCTGTTGTTCAACACCACGGCAACAAAATAGCATGTCCGATGATATAGAAAACTAACAGCATCACATACATAATCACATAGTTGTAAAATGGAAAAACAAATAAGAAGAAACCTAGAAATAAGTAGAATGATTAAGCACTACAGAGTAGTCTAATCAGGCAATTTCTCCTGCTTGGTGTCAATAATAGCAGCATTCTACAAGGCAAGAGAATCGCACACTATAACCTTTTTTAGTTTTACTATCATACTTTGTTTTGTTTCTCTTCCTATTAAAACTGATTCTCTTCATTCATATCTTACCATGTAGAATAAGGAATCAAACAACAATATTTGTAGAATTAAGAGGTAATCATAGCATGCATCCAGACTCTGGGTTCCAGAGAAAGAAACTGAATGAGTCACTTAATTCCCGTGCCTCCGTAATTACAGCTGATTGGCTTCTCAAACAGATTTGACTATGAACATCTCCAGGTGATATCAAAGCATTCAAACAATCGTTCTGGTCATCTTATTATCTTGCTTCTACACTACCGCTTTTCTTTTTCATTACTGTTGTGCTTATGCATTCCTTGAGCCGAGGGTCTATTGGAAACAGCCTGGTAAGGTCTGCGTACACACTACCCTCCCCAGACCTCACTATGTGGAATTATATTGGATACGTTTTTGTTGTACTCTCTGTCTAGAGGCTGAGACTTCAGATGTTAGCACCAAGGTCTAAGGTGAAAAAGAAGAAAGAATGCGATTGAAGTTTTAAATGGAAGCCAAAACTTTAGACGTGAAATGTCAAATGGCATGACATTTTGACTATTATAGGTGAAGAGAGATACTAACAAAGTACATAAGCAACTTCAGCAAACAAATTAGATGTAGTTAAACAATCCAATTTCCTGATGGTAAGCATTAACAGGAAATTAGAGTTTCAAGCATGACTGCTAGGAAAGCATATTAGCATCCGCACAACCAGAAGATATGGGATTGTGTAAGGATAAATTTACGGAGAGATATCACATGGCCAAAAAAGAACTAGCATTATCCGACTAGGTGACCTGGAAAGAAATTAGCATTACTCATAAGTGTCTCATTCAGTGCTTAGAGTAATTAGTAACCGTTCTTCTTCTTCTTCTTTTTTTTTTCTTTGAGGCTGGTGAGGGGGAGATGGAGAGTGGAATTCTTAGCTATAAAATAACCAGCTCAGTTCTGCAAATTATTTCAGCAAACAGAATATATGCAAGTGAATATAGATCAGTATACAAAGTCATCGAGTATGCAAATATGAAGATGAGGAGATGACATTTTCAAAATAAGCACAGAGAAATTTCATCGATGTTATATTTTCTCTTTTTGTTAGCTAAGTCAGAGTATTGCACAAAGATTCTTTTGTACACATTTGTACATGGGAATTTTCTATTTATAGAATTAATCACCATGTCTAAGAAAAGTCAGGAGTTAATAATTACTTCTCTTTCATGAAAAAGTTGTTTACATTATTTGTACTATTGTAGAGATGGAAATATAGTTTTGAACTTACATGATATGCTGGACATGCTAGATAGCATAGGATTTTGATGTAATTGAGCCAGCACTTTGTCTGTAAATTTCTCAGTATCAAGCTGATACTGTTTCTTAATAAAACCTTACCTTATAAAAAAATTATTACTTCTCTTTACTTCCAGTTAATTTAATGTACAAAATGATATCCTTTCAACTGGACATTATGGAATTACAAAAGAATGTTTTGTATAAAAGAAGATGTGCGATGGAATTCGAATTATAGCCAAATTCCCACCATCAGTACAACTTTACTTTGTTTTTTGTTAGATGTTAATATTCATGAAGCAGAACCATCAGATATATAGTACTATACAATAACATCCAAAAACTAAAAAGAAAATAGAGGAAAACCAAAACAATCAAATTGCATAAGTTCGACTGACCTTTTGAGTGAAACAAGTTACAACATGTGCCACATAACACGCATGATGGCAAACAAAATGATGACGTTCAGTCGCAGCACAATATATGAATCTTGTTCTATGAAGGCTTAGGCTAAATCACCACCACTCTGTTGCCACAAATTGATGATATCGGTAGCCTGATTAAGAAGAATAATCATTTGCTTCTGTGATATCCAGGGTTTACTCTCCAGCATGATTTTAAGCTCCTCCCAAGCATCTTTTCTAGGCCAAAAATAATAGGGGCTCAACGGAATCGTACCATGACCAGGAATTACCTGGTCCAGTGCAATCCCAATGTTCTTCTCCATCCAAATAAACTTCAACACTAGCCTAGGTTTCTCCAACGGCTTAACTACCACTCCAAGCTTCTGTACATACATCAGATAGTAAGAGTCAAACACCAGACTGAAAACGTTGCAAATATAACTAACTATATAAAAGTCAAACACCACAATAAAGATATTACATGACTAAACAAATCAAAGTATTCAAGCAAACAGATGTAGTGGATTGAACTTCTATCTATCAATTTGGTCCAAGAAAAAGATAACAAATAGGCATAAACCCCAAGCTAGTAGGCGTTGGCTGTATGAATCCTCAATATCATAAATGCTCTGTATGGTCCATAGTTTTTCAATACTCCGTACTTGAGGATTATCTAACACCAGGGATTCTCTAATATATTCTAGTGGTTATATTATAATATACTACTCTCTCCGTTTCAATTTATGTGAGCCTATTTAAATGGGCACAAAGTTAAAGAAAAAGAGAAGGTTTTTGAACTTGTAGCCTAAAATGAGGCACATATATTTTATATGGCTATAAATTATTGCATAAAGGTAAATTGTTTCCAAATATGGAAAGGGGTCATTCTTTTTGGCACGGACTAAAAAGGAAATAGGCTCACATAAATTGAAACGGAGGAAGTACGAGTTTTCTGATAAGCACTAATCGTTTACTTGATATCACTTATATGGATTTTCAACATCCATTGTTTTCTATTGTTTGCTAGACCTGGCTGGATTCCTGTATATTCTAAATCTTTTGAAATAATTTCTTTCCATGTAATTTTAGTACTACCTCTTCCTCTTTAACATCTTCAATCACCATGTTTTCACATCTAAGAACCGGTGCATCTGAAGGCCTACGTAACACACGGCAAAACCATCTCAAGTGACATTCTCTCATTTATCCTCTATATATGCTCCTTGGCCTTCTGTAACATCTTTATCTCCGTGATGCTCATCTTGTGGATATGTTGTGCTTAAAACGCCCAACAATCACTCTCATTCAACATTCAGGCTTATAGTCGTTCTATGGAACTTGCCTTTCATTCTGGTACCTATCACAAAATACTCCTATCGCGCTCCTCCATTTCAACCACCCTACTTAATGTTATCCGTAACCTCTCCATCTACCATTTCATTCTCATGAAACATTGAGCCTAGATATCTAAGCTATCAATATTTAGTACCTCAATTCAATCTAATCTTACCCGAAGTTCCTTACTCTCTAAAGTGCTTCTCCATAGCTTGAGCTTGTGATTGACACCCTCATCGTATCATCAATTAGCACAATATCGTTTGCAAAGAGCATGCACCATCGTACCTAGCCTATATACTGTTGGTTATATCATACATAACAAAAGTAAATAGGTACGAGCATAGTGCACAGACCTGGTGCAAACCCATGGTAATGGGAACTCCTCCACCGCTCCTCTCACTTGTGGCAGCTCCATCGTACATATCCTTTATAACATTTATATTTTTGACATGAATTCTTTTCTTTTCCAATACCTACCAAATGACACTTCTCCGTGCTCTATCATATGCCTTCTCTAAGTCAATAAATTTTTCTCCCTATAAATTTTTATCAATCTTCTTAGAGAAACAACCAGACCCACGGAGATTGTTGCAGCCATAATTAAATAAAAAAATGTTTCACTACAATATCTTAAAAATTAAAACTTTTTTATATTTCCGGTCAAGATTGTCCACGCCTGAACTATATGTTCCCACTGGACAAGTACCAGATAAATGTAGGAAAAAGCAAGTAGGAAGTATCCACCTAACTTCATTTTTGTTTAGCCTCTACTAGATTCTTACATGGTTTCATGGACTTCATTCTAATTTTTATTGACTGCTGGGATACACCTTTGGGTGCAACAACGTACAAAATTCAGGAGATGGTTCAATTCACACAATTCAACAAAAAGGTAAAGAATTGAACCAAAATTACCTCTTTTTGAAGAGGAGCTGAGGAGACAGAATCTTGCGTTGATGTTTCTTCAGCAAAAGATACGGCTGAGGTTGCAAAGACGCCAAGATTTCTTCTGGGTTTAAGTGCTGAGACATTGAAAGGTCGAGAAAGAGACTGCTGCTGCTTTGTAAAGGAGACAATTTTGGGTGAAAAGTATTTCTGAGAAAAAAACGCAGGAGCCCAATTCACGGTGGGCTGTGTAGCTGCTGATAACATCATCTTCAACTGCTAATATATTTCTTTGTTAAAGAGGAGAGGGAGAGAGAGAGGAAACTCCTATGAAGAAGACATGCTGTGTCTTTGTGTCATGTTCAAATGTATAGTATATGGATAAGAATACTTTTGTTTTTTCGAAGGCCCAGGCCCAGAGTTCCTTAATACCCCGGCCTGACATATTTCTCTTATGGATTTTTATATGGAATTTTTCCTAGTTATACTTAATTATAACCATATCTATTATTTGTATAGAGATTTCTTCTTAATTACATAGTATATTTATATTTATAATTTATATAGAAGAAATATAGGTATGTCTGCCATCCACACCAGAATAAATAGAGTTTTCTGAAAAAACTTGCTAGTGGAGGAAGACCTCCTTGGGATAAGAGACATAGACTAAAGAAAAGCCAAAAAGGTTCTTTTGTGTATAATCCTGCATAATCTCGAATGTTATTAGTTCCGGTACGTAGACCAAATAATATAATGCAAGCAAAAGTTTCTAGATTCATGGAGATATAGAACATCATATAAGGTATCATGCTTGCGTATCCATCATTTGAGTCTCTAACAATTATTCCAATAATTACATTATTCATTTTAGACTCCAATCTTCCTCATTTTCTCGCTCCATCTCTTCTAAAACAAGGCATGATTAGATATTGGACATATAAATTACCCCTCGTTGTTGGTGTTGGTTGGAGTATCAAATCGGGTTCAACGGTGGATCTATGTTATGAGTTATGGATAATTTAGCACCAATTACCGTTGGAGCTAAATACTATTACTTATATAGAAAATTTAATAATTCTTATAAATACATCAACTGAGCACCCAATCTCAGTAGTAACATCTAGATTAAGAATAGTTGAGTAAACATTACTTAAAAATCCTGGATCTGGCATTGATCGAGTTGTTCGTTACATCCAAAAACACCAATATTGAGTTGCAGGGCAGTGTATCAAGTAGTCGATGCTTCTTGTATTGGTGAAAAATAGGCATGACACGTGGACTAATGATGTAGTGACAAGTGGCATTTGTATCAGATTATTAAAGAAGAATGGTGAGGCACGAACAAAACACCCATGAGATTTACTGAAGGAGGTACCTTATCTACCAACTAGGATAGATGAAATAGGCATGAGATGCATGAAAGCCATAAAAAGGGAAAAATTCATGAGCAGTACCATCACGATCTCATTTCTCTATAGGCCGTGATGGCGCCCTAGGCAAGTCAACAGTGAGCTAATCATGCAAATTTCACTTTTTGATAAATTTTCAAGTAGTTTAAGTTCCATTTATTAAGAAGATAAGGAGTAAAAAAATTAAATAAGAAAAACGAAGACTAATGAAGGAACAAATGCAGTGAAATGATTACTCCAAAATCATAAAGTCTACCAGTATGTATGCCAAGACCTGGTGTCAGAAGTGTATGAGCAACTAGTAGAATATATAAAACTCTAACCGCTGTCTGAAATAAAGTAGACAGAATATAAATACAAAAGAGAGACTCTAGGTGCTGTAGAACAGCTCAGAAAGTAGCTCACCACTAGGCCTCAGTGTAACGGGGAATGCGTGCCGGTGTGACTGCCAGATGTACCTGCCTCAAATCATGCACGGTTTGTGCAGAAGTGTAGCGTGAGTACATAAACAACATCTACCCAGTAAGTATCTAGTCTAACCTCGAAGAAGTAGTGACGAGGAGTCGACATCGACACTCTATGGGTTAACAATAAAATAAAGAAATTCTAAATAAGCATTGAATTATGTAATTAATGATAGTAACTCAGTAACAAGTAGTGAATAAATAATCCTTTCACAAATAGTAAATTCCAAGTCAATTTCTGTCATTTAAAAATTTCAACCTCATAAGCCATAAAATAATATCAAATATAATTAGGCTCCGAGTATTATTAAGTAGGCTTATGCCAAGGTCGTACGACCTGATCTAGAATAATGTGTACACTGCCGAGGGTCGAGCGACATGGATCATAGATGCATCTACTCTACTGTCGAGGCATTCATCCCGCTCCACAAGAAGAGAGGATACTTTATAAACACCCGATTTACAAACTATTACAAAACTAATACACAAAAAAGCTCAATTTCTATTAACGGTTAAGTAACCCGCCAAAACTTAAGTAAGGGAAATATGATCTCTTACAAATCTTTTATCAAGTTTCAATATAAATTAGGCACTTTAATTAACAAGTAAGGCACAAACATCACAAATATTTCATGATTTGGGTCCTAAACTACCCAGACATAAATATAATTAGTAGCTATGTACGGACTCTCGTTACCTCGTGCGTGTGTAGCCCCAACAATTAGAAACAAATAGTAATTTAAATCACTTATGGGTTAAATTTCCTCTTACAAGGTTAGGAAAGAGACTTATCTTGTCTCAAAGCTCACTTTCAGGACCACAAATTCGTTCTAAAGCCTCAACTAGGTGTCGAACAATTCGAAACTAGCCAAATGTTACATAAATTAATCAATACATGTTCAAAAGTTCATAATTTAACTATTAGAGTAATTACCCGACCCAAATTGGAAGAGTCCTAAAATTCATGACCTAGCCCACGCGCCCGGATTCCAAATTTTTTTGAAGATAAATATTACCCATAACCTCACAAACTCAAATATATAATTCTCACCCAATTCCATAATTATTTTTGTGGTTAAATCTCATTGTTGCCAAAATCTAGGTTTTCCAATTAAATCCATAATTTCCACCATTTTACATGTTTAAATCTACCCATAATCTATGTATTAAACTCATCTTATATAGAAATTACTTACCTCAAAGTGTTAGGTGAAAACCCCTCTCCAAGAGCTCCAAAATCGTCCAAGAGATGAAACAAAATGAGCCAAAATAGCCTAAGTCCCGTTTTTAAAAGATGTTTTTGCCCAGGGGTCCTTATACGCGATCGCAAGGGCAAAGCTGAGGAGCCCAGAAAAAAAGGCTCTATGCGAATGTGGGGCCCAACACGCGAATGCATAGGGCAACTGGGTTGCCCAGGTCCAGGACCAGACTTCTACGTGAACCCGGCCTACCAAACGCAAAGGCTAAAGGGCCTAGGCCTCCGAGAATGCGGCCCTGCAATACACAAACGCGAAGGGAAAAATCCCCCAACCCCCAGCCCCCAGTACCCCAAATCCTTCATCGCGAACGCGAGGATCCTTCCGTGTTCGCAAAGAAGGAAACCAGAACTGGAAAATCTGGTATTTTCAACTTGGCTCCGGGTGGTCCGAAACACACCCGAGCCACTAGGGACCCCATCCAAATGCACCAATAGGTCCATAAATATAATACGGACCTGCTCAAACTCTCGAAACGCGAAAAACAACAACGAAACTAAGAATCTCACCCCAAAATCAAATTGAATCAAATTATGAACATCAAGTTTCCAATATGCTCCGAATGCGCCGAATCATACTTAGATTACTCGGAATAACACTAAAGTTTGCGTACAAGTCTTAAATCACCATACAGAACCATTACTAGGCTCGAAATCCCAAACGGGCCTCGATAACGTCAAATCCTACTTCAAACCAAATTTAAAGATCTCCTTCAATGTGCTAACTTTCAATATTAAGCGCCGAAATGCTTCCGGGTCATCCAAAACCCGATCCAAGTCCAAAATCATCATACAAACCTATTGGGACTGTCAAATCCCTGTTCCGAGGTCCTTTATTCAAAATGTTGACTCTAGTCAAACTTAGTCCTTTTTAGCTAATATTAAGGAACTAAGTGTTTCGTTTTCAACTCGAACCCTTCCAAACCCAAACTAACCATCCCCGCAAGTCATAAAATAGTAATAACACATATAGGGAGTCTTATTTAGGGGAACATGGATCTAGAAAGCAAAACGACCGGTTGCAATACTCAACTATGTCCTTCTTCATCCGCCGCCACCAATAATGCTGCCTCAGGTCCCGATACTCCTTCGTAGCACCTAGATGAATAGAATACCAAGAACTGTGTGCCTCCTCTAGAATCTTTTCCCCTCAACCCATCAATATTAGGAACGTATAGACGACCTTGGAATCACAAAACACCATCCTTATCGATAGTAACCTCTTTGGCATCACCCTGAAGTATCGTCTCCTTAAGAACTAAAAAGCGCGAATCATCAAATTGACGAGCCTTGATCTGCTCGGATAATGAAGACTGACGACGCATGCAAGAACCCGGCTAGGCTATGAAATATCCAACCTCATAAGTCTGTTAGCCAAGGACTGAATATCCAAGGCTAATGGCCTCTCCTCTGCTGCAATGAATACCAAACTACCCATACTCTCTGCCTTTCTGCTTAAGGCATCTGCGACTACATTCGCCTTACCCGGATGATAAAGGATGGTAATATCATAGTCTTTTAGTAACTCAAGCCACTTATACTGCCTTAAATTGAGATCCCTCTACTTGAACAAATGCTACAAGCTACGATGATCGGTGTAAACCTCACATGACACCCTATAACGATAATCCCTCCAAGTGTTAAGAGCATGAACAATCACGACAGACTCTAAAATCATGTACATGGTAATTTTTCTCATGGGGCTTCAGCTGGCATGAAGCATATGCAATAGCTCGCCCCTTCTGCATCAATACACAACCCAAACTGACATGTGAAACATCTCAATACACAGTATACTTCCCTGAACTGGAAGGAAACACTAGAACTGTGCCATAGTCAAAGTTGTCTTGAGCTTCCAGAAGCTCGCCTCACAATCATCGGACCACCGGAATGGAGCACCCATCTAAGTCAATCTAGTCAAAGTCGCTGCAATAGATGAGAAGCCCTCCACAAATCCGCGATAATAACCCGCTAACCCCAAAAAGCTCCTGATCTCGGTCGACGTTGTAGAACAAGGTCAACTCTAAACTACCTCAATCTTCTTGGGATCCATCTTAATACCCTCGCTTGATACAACATGCCCTAAGAATACCACATAATCTAACCAGAACTCATACTTGGAGAAATTAGCATATAGCTTCTGTTCCTGCAAGGTTTGAAGCACCACTCTCAAATGCTGCTCGTTCCCCTCCGTGTTGCACGAGTAGATCAAAATATCATCAATGAACA